CCCCCAGACCAATTTCCTAGGGGAAACACTGTTAGGCATCCCTTTTTTAAAAAACCAGTAGACCAAAGTGTTTCTGTTATTTGCTCCTTGTCATTTCAGTTTGCTGCGATTCTCCTGTTGGTGTTTGTGACGGAGTGTGTGGTGGTGGTTCTCGGCTACATCTACAGGGCAAAGGTAAACAAACAAACAAACGTCTGCCCACTTGTCTGCTTGTGTCTGTTTATGTGGGTCAAAGTTCAAATTAGCAGGTTTCTCTTGAAAAAAAGACAATGAGACTCAAGAGATTTTCTTATATAAATAAAAGATTAAATAAATAAATGTCTTATTTTTTTACTTTGTGTTGAATAAAATGGGTTATGAGAATAAAATTGTGAAACATTAAAAAAATAATTTTTTTCAGAAGGTACATTGTGCGAATAGATTTAGCAAATAAACGGCCTGCTTGTTTATCACAGGTAGAAGATGAGGTGAATCACTCCATCCAGAAGGTTTACAATGAATACAGCGGCGCCAACAGAGACGCTCCCAGCCGTGCGATCGATTACGTGCAGAGGCAGGTGAGGAGAAAATGCTCAAAAACACATTTTCTGATATAAAACCAGTTTCTTTTTTATGTCAAGGCTGTATTTCCTCAAGTTTCTGAACTGTTTGTGAGCACATCGTAGATATTAAGAAATTTTGCTACATAATTATCCTGCCCCCAGCTGCACTGCTGTGGTATTCACAACTACTCCGACTGGAGGAACACACGCTGGTTTAAAGAATCCAAGAACAACAGTGTCCCAGTCAGCTGCTGTCAGCCCAACATCAGCAACTGCACAGGCACCCTGACTCGACCCGCGGATCTATATCAGGAGGTACGCACAGAAAACAGACACATAGCTTTTGTGCATTTTATTCATTCACCCATTCCTCAAGTACAATTTTGTTGAAATGTCATTTCTTTTTTTGTTCAAGGGTTGTGAAGCTCTTGTTGTGAAGAAATTAAAGGAGATCATGATGTATGTTATATGGGCTGCATTGACTTTTGCATCTATACAGGTAAGATGTTAAAGTCTGAAGAGCTAGATAAAAAAAGACAATATTAGTTTGTAGAATAGGGTCAGCTATTTTTTTTTACTCAAAAATATAATTCTGCATCTGGCAGAATTGTGTGTGAATATTCATAAGAATATGGTGGTTTAGTCAGGCTTTCTAGTTCATGTGAATATTCTCCTAACTGTTACTGTTGAGTACTGCATTTATAATGTATCTATCTGAGTCAGCACAAATGCAGGTAGCAGCTATGACCTACAGACAATGTTTGTCAAGCACTTATTTTTTTTAAACAAAGATATAAAAACATTCCCACAAAGCAACATTTGTCTGGCCCAGTTCTGGCCCACACATTGCACTTTAACACTTGGCCCAGATACCACAAAGGATGACGGGCCTTTGGTGGCCCAGATGTGGTTTGCCAAAGGTGGTCCATGCATGGGCCAGCACCACATAAACCAAATTACAACAAAGATCCAGTTGAAAAACCACTTGCCATGCCAGCAGTGCTGACTGACACCAGACCTGGCCCACACCTGTTCTTAATAACTTTTACTAGATAATGATGATTAAATATTACATGAATTTGTAGCATTTAAATTTACTTAACAAATGTTAGTGCAAATTGTTGGGAGGATTTTTTCAAGTAAGTCTTACAAGTGCTTTATAACAGTGCACATCCATCAAGCACAGTATTGTAGCATGACACCTCACAGCTACAGAGAGAGGTGTAGCTCATGTTGTTGTAGTTCAAGACTTCACCACCAGATGGCAGTTTTGTAGAACCTTTATTGGATTCTTCTTCATGAACAACACAGACAAAGWGAAACTCACAGGTCTTATTAATGACTAGGCCTACCACTCTCACTTATGGTTTCTTCTGCTGAACGGTTTAACAAGTTAACAAATAATGAACACAAAAATTAGAGTAACACAACAGACTAATTGCCGAAAGAACAATGTTAACCAATTCCCTAAAATGATTTAACAACAAACATGAATCCTACCCACAATCCTCCACTGCAGTCACATGACAAACAGCCAAACACAGCAGAATGCTACAATATGCATTCCCTGTTCCCTGASAACTAAATATCACCTACATTATGCCATCAAACTATTGCACAACAACAAATGTATTCAAGCAAAAGAAACCAGACAACTTACAGTATGTTTTATTTCCACCATGTCTTGTCCTCTCCTTGAAAAGTGAAGCAAAGGAATGAGGAGCAGCAGCCTTTGTGTGTGCATGTTCCCTCAGTTTTAGCCCAGAAGAGTAGAAGTTACTTAATCTATTCATGTTTATGTGCTGTCCAGAAAAAGCACTTAAATATTACTGGTAAAATAATATTAGCATTTAATTTTTTGTATAGTAATATTAATATATAATATAATGCATATTGTTTATTTAGTAAATTCTAGTAGTTTAGATATTTAGATATTTTTTTTGTAAAATTCAAAAGAATAATTAAATAAATGTTACTACACCCAAAAGTTTGTTTTTTCACTGTATAGGAGCAGAAATGTGGATTTCCACATTGTTTATTTGTCACGGTAAGATTTTAATTAAAAATTATTAATTTTCACAATGTAGAAACAAATATTTTCAGTATCAGAAAATGTCCAGTTTGCATTTTTTTTGTCAGTAGCAAGGGGTAACTGCCAACAGTGAACTTTAATTTATAATGATAATCAGTTGTTGTTCTTTGAGTCTGTGGCTTAGCAGCAGCCATATTGTTTTTTTGACCTGATGGATAGCCCCTCATCAGAGCTAAACAACCAATGAAAATCTGAAGCTCCTATGTTTAATAGTTTTTGAGCTATAACCATTTTTGTATGTCCAGACACCCCCGCTTTGGATGGAGCCCCCTCCTCAAATATGGGGTGTATCGTAAAACCGTTGGCTGGCACAATGTAGGTCAGACTCGTCTACAGTCCTGCCAAATTTCATGTTGACCGGTGCAGCCGTTTTTGTGCTACGGTTGACCAAAAATCACTGAAAAAAAATAAATAAATGAAAACAATACGACTCCCGCTTACTCTTCGCGTGCGGGGGTCATAATAATAATGTTGCATCAAAAAAACAAAACAAAAAAACACAACACAGCATGGTCAAATGAAAAGGAGCAGAAAGAAGAAAAAAATCTTGTAATTAAACTCAACTTTCACAGAATAGCTTAAAATAATCAACAAAACAACATCACAACAGAAATATCAATTTCAACCAATACTTTGTTCATATCTAATTAAAAAAAACCTTAAGCTTTCTTCCAAATGAATAAATTATTCCGGTTTTTCCACTTGCAGTTGTGTCCATTAGTTTTAGTTAGTTAAATGGGACACATCAGTCCAAATTCACATTTTTAGTCCTTAAATACATTTAGTTATATATCCTAGGAGTGCAGAGAAGTTTAATTTAGTCTCTCCCGGCGTTGCGTAGATATCTTTTGTATTCTGTTTGGGTCAGATTTTTTTCATTTGTTCAGTTTTTTGAACAATAACATCACAGTATTTGCTGCAGAACTGCCAAACAAGGTCACAGACTTGTGCCTAACCAGTTCCGTGAATCCGCGGTTCTGCAGGTTCGTCGTCTTCTTTCTCCTCCGGCTCTGGGTCAGACTCTGGCTCCAACGTGTAAGGCTGGATGGACAAGTCTTCTGTTGTTGACATCTTTTAAATACTTTGTAAATAAAAGGTTTTTACGCTGCTGAACAGTTATTTCTCTATCAAACTACAAAAACATCCGAACAGGCTTTTTAAAGAGATAGCACCAAAATTAGTTGCTCTCAGACACACCTCAGGACAAGTGTGAAAAAGGGGCTTGTGGAGCTACAATAATCTGGAATTCAGACCAAATTGTCGCAGTTCCACTTAATACAGACCCCCAGCTGAATGATTTAAATATGAAAAGGAAGAATTTAAAAGTATGATATGTCTACTTTAATAGTTTGCTCTGGATAGAACAGGTCTAAAAGCGTTGAGCTCTAACCTGTGTGGTTGTGTGCCTGCAGATGCTGGGCATGCTTTGCGCCTGCGTGGTTCTGTGCAGGAGGAGCCACGACCCGGCCTACGAGCTGCTCGTCACAACCAACAGCTACGCGTGAAGGACGCAGCCGCTCAGAAAAACAAACAAACATGAGCATCACCGGACATGTTCACCGTAGATTTCAGCTGTAGTTCATAAAGCTAAAGCACATCTTGCACAACTCATTAAAAAACAAAAAAGAAAAAGTAGCGAACACTGACAATGAGTTTTGGTTGAGCACGGTGCTCAGTGAGAAAATCTCTTATTTATTGACATGCTCTCTACGTTGCTGTTATATTTTATTTTATTTTAAATACTGACCTACATGTGAAAGCCAAAGCTGTATACGGCTTAATAATATTACAATTGCTGATTTCTTGTCTTTTAATTGTTGGTTAATGAAATTTATGTTCATCCACAGTGATGATGATGATCATGAAGTGTAATTAGAAGCTTATGCGTGAGGATGTAGTTGCGAGTGTTGTATAAAAGGACTTACTGACTTGTTGTGCTATTTGCACTAAAACTACAGCTCTTGTTTTATTTTTAGTTGCGTAAGTTAAATCTAGAAGCTTTTATAACCTTACCTTTAGGATTTACGGTAGACTTTGTTGAATGTGAGAAAGAATAATGAAGCAAAGTCTTTGTTTGGATAGTAGTTATTTGTTTTGTTGCAGCTCTGTATCTGATTTTGTTTAGTAGAGAATATGCCTCATGTTCACAAACAATTAGGTTGTAGATAAAATACCTTTTTATTTTAGTGTGGAGGTTCTCTGAATCAGGCTCCAGTAACAAAGCAATGCTAACTAGAGAAATTTGCATTTCCTACGAAAATGCAAGTGTGAATGCCATTTGCGCAGAACTATAGCTGAAATAGCAGAAGAATAGCATAAAGTAGCAGAACTGTAGCTGAAATAGCAGAAGAATAGCATAAAGTAGCAGAACTATAGCTGAAATAGCATAAGAATAGCATAAAATAGCAGAACTATAGCTGAAATAGCAGAAGAATAGCATAAAGTAGCAGAACTCCATCTGAAATAGC